CAGGGATGGAGAAGATATGATCACAATGGTACAGGGATGGAGAAGATATGATCACAATGGTACAGGGATGGAGAAAATATGATCACAATGGCATAGGGATGGAGAAGATATGATCACAATGGTACAGGGATGGAGAAGATATGATCACAATAGTACAGGGATGGAGAAGATATGATCACAATCGTACAGGGATGGAGAAGATATGATCACGATGGAAAAGTAAAGGAGAAGATATGATAGCAATGGTATAGGGATTTAGAAGATATGATCACAATGGTAAAGTAAAGGAGAAGATATGATCACAATGGTACAGGGATGGAGAAGATATGATCACAATGGTACAGGGATGGAGAAGGAATGACCTCAATGGCATAGGAAGGGAGAAAATGTGATCACAATGGCATAGAGGTGTAGAAGATGTGATCACAGTTGGGAAGAATTGAAGCTATATGATCACAATGGGATAGTAATGATGAAGATATGATACAAATGGTACAGGAACGGAGAAGATTTGATCACAGTGGTTTACTAACGGAGAAGATGGGATCACACTGATATAGGGATGGATGCTATATGATCAAAATGGTATGGGAACGGAAACTATGTGATCACAATTGCTATGATTGTGTTTAAGATGAGTCACCTTAATTTGCATTTTAACAAACCTCTTCTGTGTGTAGGTTGTGATATAATATAGTTGTTTTTGCATTCATGAACTATCCAGTGGAACGATAATCTAATATTGTAATACACAAGCATGTTTGCTAAACAGTCATCATCAATATCATGTCATACATTAAAAGAGATAAAAAATATTAATTGAAAATAGTCACAACAAAACAAATGTATATCGTGTGCTATCCGGATGATAAGGTTTGCATTAATTTCATGATATAAGTTAGTTAATAATATTTGTTTTATTCTACACCAACACGATTTCATCCATTTTGTTCAATTACAAGAACGTGATTTAGAACGTCGACTTGTAAATTAACGTGTTAATTCCACAACGTGTGGCTGCCACGTTGGTCATATACTCTTAGAATAAAGTAGGGGAACATTAAATATAAATGTTAATACCGAGTAGTAGAACAAAGATAAGTATGGCGATCCTACAGTTTGCACGTGCCTCACGTGGTAGCGCCACACACGTGCGTTGGGTGTCATTCCTGATATTGACACTTTAAAGGAAGGTCAATTAATTTTTGTGGATCATTATTTCTGTCAATCTTATCGATCCTGCTTTCATACAGTTGTGATTTTCTTGATTTCATTCATTGTTTGTGTATGAGGTGAGGTGAGGTGAAATGGGGTCGCGTCAAAGATTATTGCACTTATATAGCGACGAGCCTGCACGTGTGTGTGTGTGGCTGCTTGTTCTAGACCGGACTGATGACAATTTATAGTGCTAGCACACTGAGATACCATGCCGCAGTTTAACATGAATACCCTACTCAGACAGAGCATACTGACACCGAGCCGACCAGTCCTTGTTTTAGCCCCTTAATGCCGAGCGCCAGACAGGGTAACAACAAGTACCATCTTTTTACGTCTTTTGGTATGACGCGGCCGGGATCGAACCCCGGACCGTCCGCTCTCCGGGCGGACGCTCTACCACTAGACCACGGAGGCGGTCCTGTTTGTGTATGAACTGTCGATGGGTCATCTGCAACGGGCGGACCGTCTACGGCCTATTGGTTGGAAACGGACAGAAGCCAGCGTGCAGTGGCCAATACGTTCAATGTTTTACAGTCTGTGTTTAGCAGATTATAAACAAGTACCAACAAACCCAAAAAGTTGAGAATCGACCCCGTTCAGAGCGTCCCTTGTCAACGACAAGAGTACAGGATCTATTGATTCGAAACGACGACTAACGGGTCAAGTTTTCAGATGAGTCCCGATTCACAATTCTTATCCTTGATAGGCGTGGTCGTGTCTGGCGACGTCGAAATGAACCTCAAGCCAATGCCAGACCTAATGACAGATTTGGCGGTGGATCGTGTTGAAATGGCATCACTATGATTGCCCGATCCCTACTTCATATCGTACAAGACGAAATTACTGGAGAGTACAATCGGGACAACTTACTGACAACCTTTGTTTTCCCGTTCACAAGACTTGTGGGTCGACTTTTGTCTTTCAGGACGACAACGCCCGTGCTCACCGTGCTCGAATCGTCAATACTTACTTCCAGCAGCACAACATCCATAAAATTGCCCTGGCCAGCAACTAACCCAGCCCTTTCCCCCATTGAACATGTCTAGATAGGGAGACGGGTACGTCAACGTCATTGGACGCTGACCACTTTGGCTGAACATGGCCAGTCGCTGCAAGAGGAGTTGGACATCTCTCAAATCGCCATTGGGAGACAAATACGCAGTATGCCTCATCGAGTGAAAGGATGTTTGACAAATCGTGGATGTATTACGCACTACTGATTCAAAAACGTCAACCTTGAACTTTCCCAACTATCCAATATCGTTGGCGGTCATAGCATATACTGTCATACTTCACTTCTGGTCGTTATGTGTTCCCAATTCGTTCATTATTATCCTGCAGTAAGTAACTAATATTTCTTACATCTTTGGAGGGGGCACGAGTGGTCCAGTCGTCTAAGGCGCCGCTATTCGCTGTGCAGAGTTGCGTCCCTTGAGCACGCTAGAAACCAATGATTGTGGGTTCGAATCCCCAATTATGTTTGAAGGTTTGTCAGCACCGTGCTCGTGGGTTTCACCGAAGAGGTAAACGTCTGAGACCCGCATCACTTCGGGCTTTCCTCTCACATTAAGCTGACACGCCGTGATATAAGTGGAATACTGTTTAAAGCGACGTTAAACCCAACTCACTCACTCACTCACTATGTGGTGATTATAGACCACTTCCGTGTTAGAATTGGTCCCCAGCAACGTGTGCTGGTCGTAAGAGGCGAGTTAATGGATTGGGATCGGTGACTTGGTTGACGGTGTGGACCGTTCGCGCAATATCAATAACTGCTTTATCTGGTCCAGAATCGAATATTTACTGGCCACCGTCTTGTAGCTGCTATTGCTTTGAGTGCAAACAACAAACACACAAACAAAACACCAGGAAGCTACCACGTGGTCAGAGAATCGTCCGTCATTACATAACCAATATATACCTAATTATAATTGTTCTAAAGAAGATCTTTGCATGTCCAAAATAACACAAACTTTCAAAGCGTACAATGGTCAGTGTTCAATACTTACAAATAAATGCGACTGGTTCCAGTGTTTCGTGAAACAAACATTGGGTCCTGTTTTAAAGCAATACATAGAACAAAACATATTTGAAATGCCAGATGTAGACATATCATTACATATCATCATAAACGAAATTGCTTAGGTGATTCATTCATCACTTTATCTAAAGCATTATTCAGACCTCGTAGATGCATTACATGTGACGACCCGTGAAGATTCGGGGTTAGAATAAGTCTTCAGCAACCCATGCTTGCGGTCAAAAGCGATTATGTGTGTCGTAAGAGGCGACTAACGGGATGGGTGGTCAGGCTCGCTGACTTGGTTGATGCATGTCATCGTATCCCAATTGCGGGTATCGCTGCTCATGATGTCAATCACTGGATTGTCTGGTCGAGACCCAATTATTTACAGACCGCCGTCATAAAGCTGGAATATTGCTGAGTGCGGCGTTTACCAACAAACAAACAAACATTACATGTCACAATGAATTTTCAAAATACTCCCTATGTACTATGTTAAAGGACCGCCTCCGCGGAGAGCGGAAGTTCCTGGGTTCGATCCCCGTATGGGGCATACAATAAGACATTAAAAGATGGTACTTGTTGTTACCCGTAACGGCTAAAACATGGACTGGTCGGCTCGGAGTCACTGTATTGTGTCTTAGTGAGATATTCATGTTAAACTGCGGCATGGTATCTCAGTGGGCTAGCAATATTAAATCGGCATCAGTCCGGACTAGTACAAGGAGACACACACACACGTACATGCACGTCGCTATATATAAGTGCAATAATCTTGGACGCGACGTTAAACCCCATTTTACCTCACATTGTGTTAAGGATTTAATACATTCGCCAAATGAAAGGTATATGCATGTATATGTGTCATGTGACTGTGTTTCTCATACATATCTCCCTAGTCTGATTTCTCCCTCTTGCTGTCGGGGGCGGTCGGGTAGCCTAGTGGTTTTAAAGCGTCCGCTCGTCACGCCGAAGGCCCGGGTTCGATCCCCGACATTTGTGGAATATTTCTAACAGCGGCGTAAAACCAAACTCACTCACTCACTCTCTTACTGATCTCAGTTTCCCTGCTGGAGTGAGTGAGTGAGTGAGTATGGTTTTACGCCGCTTTTTGTAATATTCCAGCAATATTACGGCGGGGGACACCAGAAATGGGCTTCACACATTGTACCCATGTCGCGAATCGAACCCGGGTCTTCGGCATGACGAGCGAACGCTTTAACCACCAGGCTACCCGACCGCCCCCCCCCCCCCTACCGCCCCCCCCCCCCCTACCCCCCCCCCCCCCCCTACCCCCCCCCCTACTGGAAGTATGATGGCCGAGAATGTTTGTTTGTTTGTTTGTTTGTTGTTTAACGCCTCTCTCAGAAATATTCCAGCTATATGACGGCGGTCTGTAAATAAACCATCAACCAAGTCAGCGAGCCTGACCACCCGATCCCGTTAGTCGCCTCTTACGACAAGCATAGTCGCCTTTTACGGCAAGCATGGGTTGCGGAAGACCTTTTCCATCACGGATCTTCAGGGGTCTGGCCGAGAGTGACGTCCCCTTCATCAACATGGACGTGAGTTTGCGAACAGCTCAATAATACTTCGTATTTTTGATATTTATATGCAAATTTGAGACTGAAACCTGGTGACGTACACATTGTGAAGTAACGAACCACGGTATCGATCGAGGTGTACAGGGCCAGGACCCGGTCGTTCTCCCACCCGAGGGGCACCCGGCAAATCAAGCTCAACAATGTCACTTACTCACCGTACACATCAGGATCGGGTATACCACTCAGATGCCTTTTGTGATCATTTCTACTGAAGATCCGGGTACCGTGCTCATTTGCCATTATTAACATTCTAGAAAACGAACTAGATTTCACTAATTTGATACCGGCAGAAAACATTTTTCAAGTTGTACGTGACGTCATCAGTATTGACAAGTCCTTTGTGTCAACCACGGGGCACTTTTCCCGTGCACCAGGTTTATGTTGGCTCGGGGGACACCCTGTGCCAGCCGGTGTTGTATCAAATTTGCTACTTTGCTCTGGCGATATAGAAGCTAACCCGGGCCCACCTGCTCTCGAAGAGGTTCAAAACACTATCCACGAAGAGATTCGCCTCGTCACATCTGAGCTTCGTACTGTCAAGACGGGTATTAGTAATTAAATTATTTCAGTCAAGTCGGACGTCCAGACACTATCAGCCAAGTGTGGACAGATTGAAAGTCAACTAGCCACTACTCAGTCGGACTTAACGCTCTCCAACAGACAAACGTTATCATGTATGACGACATAGATGCGCTGACAGAAAAGGTCGAAACGATACAGAACAAGATGTCAGATGAACTTGATAGGATGGAGTCGTTGAGTCGTTGAGACAACGTTTTTTTCTACGGAGTGCCAGAATCGCCAGAAGAGACACGCTTATTATGTAAAGAAAATATAATAGTACTTCTCAATGACAGCGTAAAGACTTTTTTTAAACGTGGGAAAAATCTGACGTTATCAGTGCTCACCGCCTAGGAATCCAGTGTGACAATCCGAGTAAACCACGACCCTTAATAGCGAAATATCGGGAGTCTGATGATAAAGTCGAGACTGTAAAAGCAAGGCCTGTATTGAAGGAGGGCGGTTATGGCGTCTCCAACGATCTCACCTTCCGCCAACGTGACCGTCTGAAGGAACTCGAGAGGAGGGGACTGAAAGGGTATTTCAAGCAAGGAAAGCTGATAACAGTACGAAACCAACATGAGACGGAACAGGAACCCGGCCCATCGGAGACGGGATTATTGACCTCCAGGCGCCCGTTCGTACGCGCCAGTCGTCGAATTGATGGACGGCGAACCGACAGCACTGTAACCAGCTTGGACAGCGGCCAAGGCCTTTTTTCCACAGGAGCTATGTCCAGACGACACCGGTGCAATTGACAACACAAGCTCATGTCGTGAAATTCACAACACCGTAAAAGAATCCACATTTCTTCGTCTATAAATTATAACATAAATGGACTCTCTTGCAAACTTTCAGATCTTGACTTTCTAAATTATTTACAAACATTTGAAATTGTATGTCTAGTTGAAACGTTTTTGTCTAACGAATTACCAAATAGTTGGTTACCTGGATATGTTAGTTTTTATTCACCTGCCATCAAAATATATAAATACGGTCGATGTTGTGGTGTTGTCTGTGTCTGTATTAAGCAAGCTATTGGTGGTTTTTGCACCGTTATGCAAACCAACTTAGATAATGTTGTTTGTATCAGGCTATCAAAACATATTTTTAAAATTTATTTTGACATTGTTCTAGCTAGACTTTAACCCAGACAGCATACAGAACAGAGGTGATCCTTTTCCCGAGGATACCAGTCCACCATTTGAGGATAGAACTTCACACGATACCAGTATTAACAGTGAGTGAGTGAGTGAGTTGGGTTTAACGCTGATTTTAACAATATTCCAGTTATATCGCGGCTTGTCAGCTTAATGTGGGAGGTCTCAGACGTTTACCAATTCGGTGAAACCCAAGAGCACGGGTATGGTGCTGACAAACCTAGAAACATAATCGGGGCGAACCGGGATTCGAACCCACAATCATGGTTTCTGGCGTGCCCAAGGGACGCAATTTTGCACAGCGAATCGCAGCGCCTTAGACGACTGGGCCACCCGTGCTCCCTAGCATTAACAGATTCGGCCCCACGCTGTTACACTTCTGTGATGTGTTTGACTTCTGTAGGGTGACACTAATGGTGAATATACGTACGTCAGTAGCCAGGGCAGCAGTGTTAACGATTACTTCATCTGCTCGATGGATTTTTTTCACACATTTCTATGTTGAATGTTGATGAAAGATTAGACTCTGATCATTTTCCTCTGGAACTCAGTTATAAATATGGCGATGACACAGAAGGCCAGCAGCGGGGAATTAGTAATGTACATTATAATAAGTACATTTGGAATGATAACTTCAGTGTTCATTATAATTAGATAGATTACGATCTACTAAGTTATTAGATCGTCTGTTGTTATATGTTGATGAAAATGAAGATAAAGCTCTGAATGGTTTTGTAAAAATAATTTTAGAATCAGCTGATTGTATGAAAAATTGTGTGTCAAATATCCACAATACACTCGATGTAAATATATTAAATGGTGAATGTAGATCTGCTAAACGTGGTTACGTTTATTATGAATTGTATGTACGGATGTACATACATCAGCCTGAGACAATGAAATAACAACATAAGCAAATATAAAATAGAATCTAATAAATGTGTACAATCTGTTACATGTACTCTTTGAATTTATAAAATATATATAGATATCACTTTCAATAATAAGTATCACTTCTATTACATCCATCTAGTACTGCACGTATCTGCACAATACATCAATAGACACGGATACAATATATAGGTGTAAGATAGGTAAACCTGCGCGCTTAATACCGGTGAACAATACACCCCGCAAACCATGCCTAGACAAATCTGCATAATAAAGATATGGATATGCAGAAAACTATATACATATACAAGTGATTTTTTGTGGTAAAATAATGTATAAAAATATATAGTACAACAGCCACTCCTATCAAACATACAACACTCATACACTTGCACTTACCAAGATACATCAATCACTCATATCAAACATACAACACTCCCGAGGCAAGAGAGTTGTTAACTGACTATAAAAGTCCAGTTTCCACCCTTGCCGAACTAGGCTGGTATTATGGAGTTACATTTTGGCTGTGCTAACGAGTCTATGCATAGTCCAATCAAAATCGCGCAACGAAATGGAAATCCGGTTCGTAAACTGTCGTGCTGATTTCGATCGATTTCAGGATTTGCAAAGCATAAGCACCGCCAAATCGTTGTTAACAGATATTTTCCAAATCTGTTCATGATTTTAATCAAGGTGCTCACGTGATTTGATGCACTTTGCGATGTAAGACCCGTTTTAACACAATATAGATCTTGATTATCGATCAGATCGTCTTGACTGGGCGCCGCCATTTAGTTTGAATCAAATGCAAGTGATACGAGAGGTGGAATCTGATTGGTCAATGGGAGAGGTTTAGAAGGGACATAACTCGTAATAACCACTGGTGGCGCTCCGATCGAGCCAAGGAATTCCAGCCTAGTTCGGCAAGGGCGGAAACTGGACTTTTAAAGTCAGTTAACTCTCTTGCCTCGGGAAGATGACAACACTCATACACCTGCACTTACCAAGATACATCAATCACCCGTAACAAACATACAGACACAAATTACTTTCCATAGCTGTGCAGAGGGATTTAACATTTGATAATTAGTTTATATATCCTATTTCTAATCGCAATAATTAGAAATCATCCATATATACAACATCATAAAATACTTTATTATGAGGAACACAACGTTTCGGAGTATATGCTTACTCCTTCATCAGGTGAATGAATGCAATGAGGCAGAGAGCATATATATGTACATGTAAGAACAACAAAATTAATAAGATAACAACTGGAAACTAACAAGGGAAGACAACAGATAAGTGGCGCTGATAGGTGATTAGCAATAGACAATGGAAGCCAACACTTTACAGTAATTAGCGCTGATAGTTATGGCGACTGGAAGTCTATCAGCGCTAATTATCTGATGGCTTCCCTTGTTAAGTTGGTAACACAAATGGATCTTTTGTAACTCCGTCCACATTGATCTGGCGATACATGGTCTACGTTGAAGTTCAAGAGAAATATCAAGTCTTACGTTTCCGAGACCCAAACCATTATCCATGACCCCACATTTCTCCACGCAAATGATAATCATGGAAGTTGCATCTATGTGTCCGATCCTGGATTCAGAAATGTATCAATTTTGAAAATGCATATTTTTACGGAGATTTTATGTGTGGATTGTTGAAATGTGTGTGTGTATTGGCAACAAAGAAAAAAACACTGAGAGAGAAGATGCCACGACTAACACAAAATATGTGGTGATGTGAAATGCTGCTCACGTTCACGTCGCGTTCAAGATTATTGCACGAGCATGCACGCGTGTGTGGCTACTTGTACAAGTCCGGACTTAAGCCGGTTCTAATACCAGCCCACTGAGATACCATTCCGCAGTTTAAAGTGGGCTTCGACACATTATACAGACACCGTGCCAACCAGTCCTTTGATCCCTCAATGTCGGGTGCCAGGCAGGTAACAGGAAGCACAATCTTCTAACGTCTTTTGGTATGACGCGGCCATGGAATCGAAACTGGCAGAACTCTATCCACTAGACCACGGAGGGTGTCCATAACACGAACGCGATATGTTTTAAGAGGAAGTTTGTTTTAGTCAGGTTGCACAACGTTTTTTTTGGTTACCAGGGCAACAGTTCACGGAATAAGCAAACCGTCTGAGAAAACGTCACAGGAGCAACCAATGGCCGTCCTCGGACAGGTACAACTGGCGACAACTACTGTGCAGGATCGCTACATTCACGCCCAGTACTCGGTTCCAGACTAGCTTCATGGTGGATAGGTGAGGTGAGGTGAGGTGAAATTGGGTTTAACGTCGCGTCCAAGATTATTGCACTTATATAGCGACGTGCATGCGTGTGGCTGCTTGTACTAGTCCGGACTGATGCCGATTTATAGTGCTAGCTCACTGAGATACCATGCCGCAGTTTAACATGAATACCCCACTCAGACACAGTATACTGACTCCGAGCCGACCAGTCCTTGTTTTAGCCCCTTAATGCCGAGCGCCAGACAGGGTAACAACAAGTACAATCTTTTAACGTCTTTTTGTATGACGCGGCCCGGGATCGAACCCTGGACCTTCCGCTCTCCGGGCGGACGCTCTACCACAAGACCACGGAGGCGGTCCTCATGGTGGATAGAACACAGGAATGTTTATGTCCAGACCATAAGGAACAGAATACGAGTTTACAACACCAGAGATCAAAGGCCAGTGAGGAGACTCATCTTGCCACCCTGCCATAGACAAGTACGATGAGGAAGAAGAAGAAGAAGAAGAAGGAGGAAAAGAAGAGAAGTAGGGGGAGAAGAGTTAGCTTTTAACAGTATTCCAGTTATATCACGGCGTGTCAGCTTAATGTGAGAGGAAAGCCCGAAGTGGTGCAGGTCTCAGACGTTTACCACTAAACGGGTATGGTGCTGACAAACCTAGAAACATAATCGGGGCGAACCGGGATTCGAACCCACAATCATGGTTTCTGGCGTGCCCAAGGGACGCAACTCTGCACAGCAAATTGCAGCGCCTTATACGACTGGGCCACCCATGTCCCCTCTGAGTACAAGAGGTTCTGTTAAAGAAAGAAGAATGTATATGATGCTGAACTCTTGATGATCTTTAGCTGACACCGTTATATCATCAAGAGTTTAGCATCATATACATTCTTCTCCCTTTAATCTATCTATCTGTCTGTCTGTCTGTCTGTCTGCCTGCCTGCCTGCCTGCCTGCCTGCCTGAACTATCTATTTACCTATCTAAATTTGTTCAATATAAATCCGAGTTTAGTTGTGTACAGTCCATATCAAAATCCAGGGCGGTTGTTGCTTATAAAGTTTTGTAGCAACTGTAACATAGGCTCCTGGATTTGTATTTCCCGTATTTCCCTACAGCACTATCAATATTATCTCCTAATAATACAGACCCGTGAAGATTCCGGGGTAGAATAGGTCTTCCGCAACCCATGCTTGCCGTAAAAGGCGACTATGCTTGTCGTAAAAGGCGACTAACGGGATCGGGTGGTCAGGCTCGCTGACTTGGTTGATACATGTCATCGATCCCAATTGTTTTGATCGATGCTCATGATATTAATCACTGGATTGTCTGGTCCAGACTCGATTATTTACAGACCGCCGTCATATAGCTGGGATATTGCTGAGTGCGGCGTTAAACAACAAACCAACCTAATAATACACGATACTGGCATGTATGACCTGACCCAGTGAACACACATATCTAGTTACAATATCATCATGAGTCGAAATGACGAAGTAGTCATCAATGCTGCGCTCGGAATGAGATACATATGTCAGATTGACTGTTGTGACAGATTTACATCTTCCATCGACAATATGGATGCCAAGAATCTTACTCACGTCTAGTTAATGTAAGCCATAGTTGTTTATGACTTCATGTAAAGATTGAGGAGATATGAGAAGTTATCAGTTAAACGCTCCACATGAAAACAATTCGCATGAATCGCCATAATCATGAAGAATGTCAGTAAGTTGCGGTTTGAACGTGTCAGCTCCGATCTCTTCTGTTTGCATGTCTGGTGAATCATGGGGCGGCTGAAATTAACGCAAGTGGAAGATGTAAGGGAGACAACTCATTCTTCACCCTGAACAGCAGAGCATTATCGGACAGTATACTCTCTCGAGGAAGGAGGATATTTTATGTTTAAAACAAAGTTATATGGCTGTTTGTTCTTTTGTGTCATGTGATCTCGTGTTGATTGCCTCCAATAAAAAACATACTGGCTAACATACCCTCAAATAGTTTTCAACTAATTTTATCCCGAATTTTAACAGGAAATCATACTTGGATAGACAAAAGGCAACCATTCGTTTTCATAAAGGTGAAATCAAAATACAAAACTATAAAACTGATTTCTCCAAAGAAATATAACAATCGCGTTCATATCAGAAGTAAAATTAAACAAACAATAAGAAAAACCAAGATATTTAGGCATTTTCTTCCTGAAGGACAAGAACACGACTGTTACATCAGGCAGATCAACTTTATAATTTTTCTTCTCCTTTGCCAATGCTGACGTTGACAGAAGACGAAGGAGAAGCAGAAGAAAAGGCAGAAGCAGAAGAAAAAGGCAGAAGCAGAAGAAAAGGCAGAAGCAGAAGAAAAAGGCAGAAGTAGAAGAAAAGGCAGAAGTAGAAGAAAAGGCAGAAGTAGAAGAAAAAGGCAGAAGCAGAAGAAAAGGCAGAAGCAGAAGAAAAGGCAGAAGTAGAAGAAAAAGGCAGAAGTAGAAGAAAAGGCAGAAGCAGAAGAAAAGGCAGAAGCAGAAGAAAAGGCAGAAGTAGAAGAAAAAGGCAGAAGTAGAAGAAAAGGCAGAAGTAGAAGAAAAGGCAGAAGCAGAAGAAGCAGAAGAAAAAGGCAGAAGTAGAAGAAAAGGCAGAAGCAGAAGAAAAAGGCAGAAGTAGAAGAAAAGGCAGAAGCAGAAGAAAAGGCAGAAGCAGAAGAAGCAGAAGAAAAAGGCAGAAGTAGAAGAAAAGGCAGAAGTAGAAGAAAAGGCAGAAAAGGCAGAAGTAGAAGAAAAGGCAGAAGTAGAAGAAGCAGAAGAAAAAGGCAGAAGTAGAAGAAAAGGCAGAAGCAGAAGAAAAAGGCAGAAGCAGAAGAAAAGGCAGAAGCAGAAGAAAAGGCAGAAGTAGAAGAAAAAGGCAGAAGTAGAAGAAAAGACAGAAGCAGAAGAAAAGGCAGAAGTAGAAGAAAAGGCAGAAGCAGAAGAAAAAGGCAGAAGTAGAAGAAAAGGCAGAAGCAGAAGAAAAAGGCAGAAGCAGAAGAAAAGGCAGAAGCAGAAGAAAAGGCAGAAGTAGAAGAAAAAGGCAGAAGTAGAAGAAAAGGCAGAAGCAGAAGAAAAGGCAGAAGCAGAAGAAAAGGCAGAAGTAGAAGAAAAAGGCAGAAGTAGAAGAAAAGGCAGAAGTAGAAGAAAAGGCAGAAGTAGAAGAAGCAGAAGAAAAAGGCAGAAGTAGAAGAAAAGGCAGAAGCAGAAGAAGCAGAAGAAAAGGGCAGAAGTAGAAGAAAAGGCAGAAGCAGAAGAAAAAGGCAGAAGTAGAAGAAAAGGCAGAAGCAGAAGAAAAAGGCAGAAGAAGAAGAGGACGAAGAAGCAGACGAAGGAGAAGAAGGAGGAGGGGGAGAAGCAGAAGAAAAAGAAGCAGACGAAGAAGAAGAAGAAATATAATTCATTCTTGTGTGGATCGTCTACTCGTGTTGATACAACACGAGGTGCATCTGAAATATACTGGGCAGCCATGTCTACTATTCCACTATTCTAATCTTCAGTTGAAGCAGCTCCCGCCGCCCTCAAATCCCCGGTGGAACGTTCGGTAACTAATGTGGGACATTTCAAGGACTTCCCTCGAATATCACTGCTCGCGCGGACCTCCATCTCAGCATATGTTCCTATAATAAAGTGTAAACTGGACGATTTTCAATATTCTTTCAACAAAAAGGTTGTACGGACTTTGCGGGACACCATTAAAACGCCGTTGTTGGCTGTAAGTACACGCTGAATAAGGCAACAGTCCATAAAACTGAATACTGTTCTCCTCTACAGAGACACTGCAACCATGCAATGTAGCAGGTGCACCATGCACAGGCGGATCCAGAAAGGGGCGGGTCCAGGGGGTAAGGCCACGTAATCTCCGGTCACAAACATGAGCAGTTCCTCTCGTGTCGTCGCCTGTAGTAATCGGCGGTAATCAGTACGCGCATGGACTAGACACATGGGCATATAATTAAGCACCACCCACGTTTTCGAATATGTGCTACATCAACAAATGACTGGTGTTACTCATTGTTGTAAACACGGCACAAGAGTAGTAAACGGACAAACAGAACACCTGTCACTAGGCTCACTACCATCACACAAACAGTGACGATGACACTTAGTCTGGCAATTGGTACCGCCTTATTGGCGTTCATCTTCTCCCGGGGCAAGGGGGATAACTGACTATGGCGTATGATATTGAATTATAGTTTAGCTGGACTAAAGAGTCTATGCATTGTCCAATCAAACCATCTTCCCGAGGCAAGGGACTTACATTACTATAAAGGTCCATAGTCAGTTAACGCCCTTGCCTCGGGAAGATGACTCAAAATCGCGTGACAAAATCGACATCCGGTTCGTAAACGGCCGTGCAGATTTCGGTCGATTGCAGGATTTGCAAAGGTGTGTCTGCCGTCAACAGATATTTTCCAAATCTTTTTTATGTTTTTAATAACGTTGCTCACGTGATTTGATGCACTTTGCTAAGTAAGACCCGTTTTATTGAAATATAGATCTTGATTATCGATCAGATCGTCATGACTGGTTGGTTGGTTTGTTGTTTAACGCCGCACTCAGCAATATTCCAGCTATATCACGGCGGTCTGTACATAATCGAGGCTGGACCAGACAATCCAGTGATTAATATCATGAGCATCGATCCACGCAATTGGGATCGATGACATGCATCAACCGAGTCAGCGAGCCTGACCACCCGATCCTGTTAGTCGCCTTTTACGACAAGCTTAGTCACCTTTTACGGCAAGCATGGGTTGCGGAAGACCTATTCTACCCCGGATCTTCACGGGTCAAAAGTGGTGTAATATTTACGTTAATATACCCAGTCACCCATAAAACTTCCGAATGCATGATGTGTGGTTACCAACATCCACACTCATGATAACTGCCACACATTTATTTTCCCCGGGGATAGATTTCTTTTACGAAATCACAATAAAATTACCATCCAGTCATTTTAAATATCTATAATTTGTTTGTAAAAAGAGCCTGGGGTTCACAAAATCAAGCAATCAGCTTATTGTAATCCATTTAGAGTTGTTTCTCCTCCGTACGCAAATGATTTCTTCCCAAAAAATATATTTTTAATAATATAGGTTAAATGATATTTACACTGTAGTTCAAGGCTTATCACACCCATTCACTTCTACTCGGTATGAAATAGCAACTGTTTCTAGTAGGGCTGGGACGGGTAACTCGGGTCGGGTGGGTACTGAGCAGGACCTGGGTACCCACAGGACTACCCACACCCATGGTCAGTCACGGGATATATCGTTTAATGACAAAACTTATCTAAACCTCATTGGTCACACTACAAGTCACAAATGTTCCCATTTCTTTCTGACTATGCACGCATTCCTTCTGACTTTTGTATGTTTGAAAACAAGAGATAAAACTTCATGCAGTAAACATCAGTGCATATGCATGACCAGATCGTTTTATACGTGTATCTAAATACATTTTGCCAGGGCTACGGTCAAATTTTACCCAATCTATCTCTTGGGACCTACAGCGGGTACCCGGGTAGGGTCGGGTAATAGCGGGGTGGGTACCCGGGTAGTAAATTTTGACTCGTCCCAGCCCTAGTTCTATCTTCTCCTCTGTACGTAAATTATTTTTTCCCAAAATATATATTTTTGATAATGTAGGTTAAATGATATTTACACTGTAGTTCAAGGCTTTTCACACCCAATCTCTACTACTCAGTATGAAATTGCAACTGTTTGAAAAAATAAAAATGTTTTCGGGGTAAGTTGGCGCGAATAATGAGTGCAATAAGTCCTATGCCTAATCGACGCATCCCAAATGTAAAGCGGCAGCTAAGCGGAGTTACCGTTCTTGAAATTCGATTTTCCAGGCAGGTGGCACCTTAGTAGCATTGTATTCATACACGCAATTACGAATAAAATAATCTCCGCAGAATAAAGAAGGACTGCTGATATGATCGTTGCATAAATATATTTATGTTATAAAACAGTTAGCTGTATAAGGCACATTCGCAGTTTTAAATTGCATTTTGCAGCGAGTGAATGTGCAAGTACGACCTATTTGATCACGAACTACATCGGAAGTAACGCGGGATAATAGGTTAATCGCAGTCAGGAAATAAGCCGGTTTGTACAAGTAGGAACAGTATAGTAGCATTCAAATTAACTAAAAATGTCGAACAACGATTCAAAGATGGGGATTGTGGACGGACAAGACAACACTACTTATCTAGAAGAACTTCGGCTTGAGTCACGGCAAACAAACCCAAATTCACATGCAGGGCGCCTTCTTCAATCAGGTAAGATCACCAGTACATTTGGGCTGAGGTGCGCCGACATGTGCTCGGCCATGTTGCTGCCCCTTGCCCATTGTTCAGAAAAGTGAAAATTGAAATCTTGGCATAACAAGGGAAAGGCCGTAGATTTACTGTATTCAGTTGCATTTACCCTTCAAATTCTTAACCTGTATTGTCTTAGACAGTGTTTTGTTTCTTTTCCTGCTTTGAATATATTATGAAAATGCATTGTTTGCTACGTTTTTAGCCAGGCCTAAACCGATTACAAGATTCTTGGTCTAGACCAGCCGACCGGTGATTTGTATTGCGTGTCGATGCGACTAGCCTAAATATAATTAGCCAATACAACATAAACCTGATTTGATCAAAAGTGCAGTTCAGCTGTTTTATTTCGCAAGATTTACAGCTTCTTTTGCAATAGACACAACGATAGGCCTATTCCATGCTAAATTTGAACTTAGTAAACGTTCCCCATAGAAATACTATCTTCATTTAAGTTCTGAAGTTTTACACTTTTTTACTGTGTTAAAGATCAGGGATATCTTTTAATTTCAGTGGTAGGTGTCAGTTTCACCTCGCTATATATTAGTCAATCTCATCTGCCATCAAAAGAAGCCTCATTGCAGGCATTCAGATCGGTCCATTTTCTTGGACTTGAAATAGGCCTAGGCTACATGGTAGCAGGTCATGCTGACCGCATGTCACTATTGTCAGAATGGCCTCGAAAGTTAAAGTGAAAAATGCCACAGAAATAGTCTGAAAAACTCATGTATTGCAAAAGCTATTATTCACAGTTGCTAACATTGAAGGGCAAAGACCTGTATTCCTCCCTCCAAAAGTTTTGTGTATGCGTTGCTGCTCAATCCTTTTTATTATGTATATTATTTTTTAATTTGAAGTTTACATGATACACAGCTTTTCCATAGGACGAGAGATCGTCACATGACCGCTAAATTGGTGTTAAAGTGTATGAACAACACAATTTGATGTTTGTTTTTCACAAGACCGTGTTCTTGAAATGGCACAATCACTGACGGACTACTTCCACACTCCTGGGAATTCCCTAGCGCGATTACATACAGAAGCGTTTTCTCATCATTTAGACCCTTTAATCTTGAACTCTGTGTTTTAGTATACATTGAGAAAAGTCAGAGTTCAACGTCCCCGTAAATGATAAAGGATGAATATGCAGGGATCAGGCTATTACTTAGAGATGACCTTAATTGTGACGTAGCAGTGTTGGACTGTGCATCCACTCTCATTTGGTTAAGACAAAGACTTTCACACTTGTATTAATACAGATCTGTCTTCATAAATGGAGGATTTCATTTTCGATCTTGTGCAGGTGGATTAAGATGACATACACCTTCCAGCAGTTACTCTATTCCTTTGTGTTACAGCTGCTGCTGCCACCACTTTCCCATTTCAGTTGCTAGTGGTGGTAACAATTGAAAAATTGATTTCTTTGTTACAGTTTTCAATAATTTGCTACTTTGTGTTAACTGTAACAGTTGTCCATATATACAACCTTTGTCCACACACATGTTACAATGTCAGGTGAATTCTCTAATGACCTGGCCTGGATGTTTTATCTTCGGGATCTGCTATGAAAAATATTTTCAAACATGTACAAGGAAAGTTTGATGCTTTCTGAGTGTTGTCTTTCTTCACTAGTCTGCATTGATAGAATTTCATTATTCCTATGATACTATATACACTTTGTCCAATATTTTCTATTTAGTAAGTTAATATACAGGCATTAATTCATGAGCATTTTGTTTTTGCCGAAAATGTTCCTATTAAGTTTCAAGTTGTAGGTGTGTTGATAGGCTTTATATCTTAGTGTTTTGTTAAACCAAAAATACAGCAACTATGTCAAAGTACCGGAATGGTGTGATGTGTAAATTTTGTGTTTTCTTGTTCTGGTAACAAGCTGTGAACTTTGGATATTTTAGTATGTCAAAGGTGTGAATAAATTTTGTCATTCTCAATCCACACATTTTGTTTTCTACACAAGAAAATGATTAAATGTTTCAATATTGAATGTCATTTTATTACATGGAATGGGTTTTGGGTTTCACGGCAATCAACTGGCATAAATTTGCATGTCCTAGAATAGAATGGATTCGTTTCAGGCTAGTGCTGAAAGTCTGACTGCATTTTAGCCTTAACTTGTCTGGTTTTAGTAGACCAGAGACTGCGTTTAAATGAAACAAGACAAACTTTTTAAATGTTTTTATCAAATATCTATTATAAGTTATAGCACAAGGCTTGAAATTGTTTATTAGTGGAAAACTGTTCTTGATTTTTGTTATTTGTGACTCTAACATTGATACAATTTATTTTGCTAGATGACATAGGTATATCCTTGCTTATCCAATGAGCATTGTCAACTAAAATAAAATAGTATAACAATCTGCCATTAACAGATATAGGTCTTCGGCAATGTATGTTTAGATCATAACTGAGTATTCAAAGTGATAAGACATTGAAAGCGAATACCGGTATTGTAAATGGTGTTAGTTTCATTATGCAATGAATGTTGTTCCAGGTTTACTCTTTTGATAAATCAGCATCAATTAAATAATTTATTTCCTGCAAAAGCAATACAGTAACAGTATGTCAGACATTGTGTAATGTGATGGATTTAATAAATGCATGATATGACAAGTAGGTTCATAAAATTATATATACTATTTTGATGTGACTACGGCTTGGTCGGTTTTACCGACCTCAGTGTCTGGGGACTCCAGGCTTCTTGGTTGGTGTACCGTCCGAAGGTGTTGAAAGAGCTTATGTAACTGAATCCCTCGTAATGCTGCATTGAGCTATGGGAATGTTAGTTAAACAGACAATGAGTACGGTAAATGCGTTCCATTGCGACCATGAAAACACTGTCAATCAAATTGTTTGTTTGTGTCTACATATGTGAAGCAATAGAATTTAGTCGCCACAAGATATCTTTCAAGGTAGCCATTTGGCGACCCCTGAATTTAAGTCAGTAGACAAATTAAAATTTAGGTCACAATTAGAAAATCAAATAGGTGAACATCCTTAAATGAGCAAGTAACGTCTTGTGAATGTTGTTACTCAATGCACTCGTACTATGGTGTCTATGGTTGTATTTACAGAAATCAGCAGAATAGAGAAAGGAGAAGCGAAGGAACGAGTTGTGTCATGGATTGAGGTGCACCCAAACAACCCCCAGCCCTTGTCCATCAGAGTGCGCATTCCAATGAAAGAACATCCAAGAGTGAGTAGTAGGGCTGTTAGATTCACTCAAGTATTTGGTGAATCAAACTGTATGCCTTAATGAATTGTATTCGTTATTTTGGGGTTACTAGAATCCAACATTTACGATAATATATTTTTGAAAGGGTTTCTACGTCTGTGGTTTGTGCACAATGGAATTAATATAAGCCATGCAGTAGCGTAGCTTGTCAGTATGCCAAGGTCCCTTATGGTACTGTCAACCAAAACATTAGGCTATAAGCGACTTTGTTTGTGTAATACTTGTTTTCTTTACCCAAAAGTGTCACTAAGCAATTACATGACAGAGATTTTTAATGAACTAAAGTTTTACACTGACTTCAAGTTTCACTGAAGGGATTTCATGTAGTTTTTCACTGCATAATACTTGATAATTTTTACTTTGCACTAAGAATAATAAACAACTACAATATTCTTATCCTCAAACTCTGATATGCAACATGCAGGGTGAGGCAATAGTATCGTAGATCATGTAAGGTAGACTGAGCACTTACCCCCCTAAAACTCCCTTCAGTTAAACGGCTGATTGTCTGTTAACGCTCATCATTTAGATAGTAGCAATTGATCAATATTTTTTGGTTTCCATAATTACGCAGTTATGTGCATTTACGTTGCCTGTACCTAAAAAACATCCATAAGAACTTCTATATGAATGAATTTTTTCAAAGACAACACTCCTATAAATTTAACAGTAATGAGTTCAATGATTAACACTGTTGACATGATCAAACTATGCCCACAAAATTATTTTCTTATTGTTTGCAGCAACTGAGTAGCAATCTCATTGTCACTCATTGTTTCACTAATAGTCCTTATGCTGTTTTATCATTGCAAGGACAGAATTGGTGTAAATGATTTTATGATCCTGAAAAGTACTAATGAGATTGTGGAAACATGCCGGATTGTTTTGATTATATTCATAATGATGTATTCTATTGTCATCTGTTTCAGTTCAACTTTGTTGGCAAATTGTTGGGGCCCAAAGGAAGCTCCCTGAAGAGACTACAGGAGGAGACCGGTACCAAGATGTCGATCCTGGGGAAGGGATCAATGAGAGACAAAGCCAAGGTAACTCACTGCATTGCAATTTGAAGTGTATTTCAGTGGATGGATGTACCTTAAACTTAAATTTGTAACTGTTCTTGGCAGTTGCCTTGACGTTTTGAGGAAATTTTGAAAAAAATATATTTGACCATGTATGTACCAGGGCCATTTCTTTTTCAAAAAGGTTGTAGGTCATTGGAGACCAATATGATTTCTTGTTGTAATGCATCCATTTCCTATTGCTAAGGTAACAATTTGTTGCAGGAGGATGAACTTCGGAAGGAAGGTGGCAAGTACGCTCACCTCAATGATGAGTTGCATGTGTTTGTGGAGGTGTTCTCTGAAATGACCGACAACTACGCCAGACTGGCACATGCAGTAGCAGAACTCAAGAAATTCTTACAGCCAGTAAGTAAATGCATGTGGGAATGAATAAAGGTTTTGAAGATGTTAAGTATATTGGTAGCCCTTACTTAGTCTGAAAGAAATTGACCTCATGTCAATACAGAGCTTTTAAAGTTAAATAGTTCAAATTTATTCGAAAACATTAGGAATCATCACCTTGGGCCTCCATGTTAAAAGTAAATGCCAGTTGCGAGTCCCAAATGACTGATGCTAAAAAAACCACCACTTTGTCTTGACAGGAATACAATGATGATATCCGTCAGCAACAACTTCAAGATATGATGTACATGTCTAATGGCGAGAAGGGTATGGCCCCACCCCGTGGAGGAGGCCGTGGCGGTCCTGGAGGTGCTGGTGGACCTCCTGGTGGGCCCAACTTCAGAGGGGCTCCCCGTGGAGGACGTGGTGGAGCACTCATGACCCCACCTGCGGGATCAGGGTAAGTTGCATAGTGGAGCTCTCGTGACCCCTACTGCAGAAATTGGTAATGTGTAATGGGATTTAATGTTCCTACACTGTGACCGTGGGGAGAATACATCTCAGCACTCTTCTACATATGAGATTGGATGGTCAAGCTTGGTGACTTAGTTGAGTGCATGTCTTTGGGTGGAATATCGGCCTCTGAACAGGTCTAGATAAACCCCTGGAACCTCTAGTAAAACCAACAAACATTAATAATGGGACAGTTTTTGTTTCTTATGTACTGAGTGAAATTTCACCATCTGGTAGGGTTGTGTAAATGGAAATTATCAGCCTATCATGACTTATGTGATTTTTTTCTAGGGAATCAAACTATCACAGGGCCCCACGAGGAGGTCGCGGAGCTGGTCACCTTGGCACATCAGGCTCTGGCGCAAGGTAACTTGCATATATGACACTAGACATTTGTATCACCCTATAAACTAGCATAAAGAAATTTGTTTCAATGAACAAATGCTCAGTATTTAAATAACCGAAGAATTCAGGATAAATAATCTTTTATGGAATCTATGACAAGGGGAAAGTATCATGTAGTAATAATCTTTAGCTTCTCTGGTTTCAGTAGAGGTGGTCCTTCTATGAGAGCACCTCGTGGTGGCCCACCGTCTCGGGGGATGTCACGTGGTGGAGGGCAGACCCAGCGAGGAGGCATGGGTGCTCCCCGTGGTCGCCCAGTAGCACCCCCACAGCCTGTACAACAGACCTATGATGACTACAGCGGAGGCGTGAGTAGACAACAGAGCATGACCATTATTCTTATCAAGGAAGTGTTTTGTGCTCTAGTTCATATTTTGCAGTAAAGTCATCATTGAGAATGACCTAAATTGGCTAATGTCATTCAAATATTCCATGGTTTTTAACATTATTACTGGGCGGTGGGGAAGCCTAGTGGTTAAAGCATTTACTCTTCACAGCGAAGGCCTGGGTTCACTCCAAACATGGGTACAATGTGTGAAGCCCATTTCTGGTGTCCACCCTCCATAATATTGCTGGAATATTGCTCAAAGCAGCGTAAAATCATACTCGCTCACTCACTCAACATGATTACTTAAACTCTTTCTACCCTGGAAGATCGGGTTAGAATAGGTCTTCAGCAACCCATACTTGCTGTAAAAGCCAACTGACGGGATTGGGTGGTCAGACTCACTGATTTGGTTGATACATATCATTGTATCCAAATTGGTGTTAAACAACAGCCCCCTGCCCAAGAAAGTTGAACACTTACAGTAAAGCGAGAAATATGGTAGTCATAGTAGCAGTGGGCATGGAAATTTTAAATTTATTTTTATATCCATGCCTGCCGTAAAAGGTGACTATGCTTGTCGTAAGAGGCGACTAACGGGGTCGGATGGTCAGGCTCGCCAACTTGGTTGATGCATGTCATCGATTCCAATTGTGTGGATTGATGCTCATGATATTAATCACTGGATTGTCTGGTCCAGTCTCGATTATTTACAGACTGCCGTCTTATAGCTGGAGTATTGCAAAGTGCTGCGTTCAACAACAACAACAACAACACACAAACTGTAACATTGATGTACTTAGTCTTATATTGAGATGAGTTTCTTGTACATCTGTATTTGTTTGGCAGGATTACTCTGCTCAGGGTGGCTATGAAGACTATGGCCACGGACAACAGTATACTGAGCCTGAGTATGACTCGAGTTATGGTGGACAGAGGTATAGTGGACATAGTCAGGAGTACTTCAATGAAGAAGAAGTAGGAGGGTAAGTGCAGCATGTTGGAAACAGTGTCAACATTTCTTTGTCTTCTTTTTATCCTCAAAGGTAACATGTAACATCCAGGTAATTACACTGTTCAACCAGTGTACTTATATAAGTTTGTTTTAAAATTGACTCATTGGTTTTGTGGTGTGGACACACAAGGGCATAAGTCGCTGAGACAAGTCTTGATGCTCAACATGAAGACCTTCTAAATCAAATCATGAAGATGAATTTTCTTGTATAATATTTTGTAACTACCTTGATAGATTGGTGTTTCTCTAATTATAATAATGATACATTTTGTGTTCAGATCTTTTATTTTTCAATGTTTATTTCAGTGACACCCAATATTTTGATTATGGGCATGGATCAGGGTCTGCTGCAGGTGGTTATGAAGACTACGGTGAGACTACAGGTTCATAGCCTTGCTTTCATCACTAGATGTCAGGGCGGCTGGCAAGAAGGAACAGTTTGTAACATAATGAAGCCCTAAATATCCCTTCCAGTCTGGAAAGAGACTTTCAGCTTATATTCTATGCCGTGACATGTGACATACTTTGATATTATAAGTATAATGTTGATACTTTTGTTTGTGGCATTTAAAGGGTCGTGAAGAATGTTTACATAAGGTTTTAAGACTGTTTTTAAGTCAAAAACCTTCATTTTATCATATAGGGGATAGTTTTTATAGCATTCAAGTAAATTATTCAGTTATGGTTATGATACTATTGGAAATTAGATATCAAGTTTTTAGAGTAATGAAACATTAATTTTTAAACTTATCCTATCTCACACTATGCATTCTCAATCCTATCTTAGAGGAAATGCAACATGTGAGATAGGATTGAGAATGCATAGTGTGAGATAGGATAAGTATCTAAATATACAATTTTTAAGAAAATTTACAATACTTTAAATTTAATATTTTTAAAGAGTTTGTTCTTTTGACTGTGTTCCAGTGTGCGGATATTTCTGTTGTACACTCTGCGGACTCCAGTGTTCTGCTGGTTGTCGGGAGTGTCCACACTTTCAACACTCGGTCATAGAGCAAGACAATGTCATAGTGCTGCTTGGGATTTCAACAGTCCTTGTAGTCTCCTATATTTGTCACATTCATTAATTTCGTTCATTCCCATGTATTGATTTGTCCTTGAAGACTCATATCCGCCATTACTCCATAGCCCGACCTGGAAGGTTTGTGGTCTGACTTAGTGGAATTAATATTGGCAGCCATAACATTTTTTGAAGTGTTTTTGCACATGGATTTCCAATTTGGTTTGCTCTACATTAGTTTCAAACGTAACATGGATGTTTTCTGTGCTAGTAATTTGCGCATTGAGGTGGGTCTCACCAAGGTCACAAGTTTTCTGTATGCCCTTTGAGAACTTCCTTTTGTTTGAACTAGTGACCTTTCATATTGACAGAAAGTTTCTTGGGAATTAAGCTTGAAACAAATGCAGGAAAATGATTTAACTTTGCAATTTGTGTAATAACAGTTCTGTTATGACATAATTTCTCCGGTGACTGTGTTCCAGTGTGCGGAAATTTCTGTTGTACACTCTGCAGACTCCAGTGTTCTGCTGGTTGTCGGGAGTGTCCACACTTTCAACACTCGGTCATAGAGCAAGACAATGTCATAGTGCTGCTTGGGATTTCAACAGTCCTTGTAGTCTCCTATATTTGTCACATTCATTAATTTCGTTCATTCCCATGTATTGATTTGTCCTTGAAGATTCTTTCCGCCATTACTCCATAGCCCGACCTGGAAGGTTTGTGGTCTGACTTAGTGGAATTAATATTGTCAGCCATAAAATTTTTGAAGTGTTTTTGCACATGGATTTCCAATTTGGTTTGCTCTACATTAGTTTCAAACGTAACATGGATGTTTTCTGTGCTAGTAATTTGCGCATTGAGGTGGGTCTAACCAAGGTCACAAGTTTTCTGTATGCCCTTTGAGAACTTCCTTTTGTTTGAACTAGTGACCTTTCATATTGACAGAAAGTTTCTTGGGAATTAAGCTTGAAACAAATGCAGGAAAATGATTTAACTTTGCAACTTGTGTAATAACAGTTCTGTTATGACATAATTTCTCCGGTGACTGTTCCAGTGTGCGGAAATTTCTGTTGTACACTCTGCAGACTCCAGTGTTCTGCTGGTTGTCGGGAGTGTCCACACTTTCAACACTCGGTCATAGAGCAAGACAATGTCATAGTGCTGCTTGGGTTTTCAACAGTCCTTGTAGTCTCCTATATTTGTCACATTCATTCCAGAAGCTTCATTTTTGGTCTTACATTTGTCCATGCTGATTTAATAGTACATTGTCAGATGATGAGGCTTATGTGAGAGCTGGTATAGATAGAGAATATTTATGCTGGAAGGGTTATTTGGGGCAAATAGTTGCATATGGTACATACTGTGTTCAGGTGACAGGCGATAATTGGTGGTTTTCTTTTCAGGTGATAGTTGGGGAACAGGGTCTGGTCCAGTGAAGACTGCGCCACGTGGGGCGGCCAAGGGCCAGTACAGATCACATCCCTACAGTCAGCGAGGAGGATATTAAGTGCTAGCTTCATGCCAGTCAGTTGGTGTAGGCGCCCAACGTCTTATCATTCATCGTCGATCATCTTGTGTGGACATTGTGTATCAAATTGAGGTACATGGACAATTGGACTGTACAAGTTTTATCGTGCCAGCTTTTAATCTTACGAGATACTCAAGTCGTCTTAATTAGGTTGTAAACCCTTTAAGATGTGAACAATTTTTCATACAGTTTAAGGACTATGCTTAATTCTGCATAAAACTGTTCATCAAAACAAATCATTGGACATTGTTGAAAGTAGGCGTTTAAGTCATGTGAACTTGTAACTAGGCTATAAACGCTACAATGTTGTATCGTAAGTCATTTTCAGTGTGTAAAATAAATGTTTTAAAATCATTTATGTCTTTGTTGAAACTAAATAAGTGGTCAAGGAATTAATGAAATTATTAAATTGAAATTTACACCTGGGTTGTCAATTTTCATTCACAAATGCATGTAAGTATTTTCTACTTTCATTTGCTAGACTTAAATACGCAACTAGTTTAGCATTGATACTTGGGAATGATAAACTTGAGCTAACTAAGTCAAATAAACTGTAAGAAATTATGTTACAACTCACATGTGAACTTGATAATATCCATTGTAGATTTGTGAAGACTGTTGAAGAAAGTTGACAACCTTTTTACTTGCAGAATCTTTTGCTAATCTTTTGTTTGTGTTTGCTATTTTAACATTCCACTTCATAGATGATTAATCTTAGCATTTTTCCCATAGGAACAACTTGAATGAGAAATAAAATCGTTCTCAAACTTTGATTGTAAATTTTAGAATGTTTTTGCTTCTATCATATATTAATCATGTTAATTAGAAAAACACAAAGAGAGTTAAATGTGTTTGAAAAAAGCTAGTCCATGCCTAGAACAACTTGGTGCCTCCTGGTTGAGATAAATGGGGAAGTAACTCCATCCAAACACAACTGTGAATTTGAACTGCCTTGGCTAGATATGGCATCGTGTGCTTTATGAATCCAAGAGAATTGATACCCAGGCATCATAATGAAGAAAGACAGACCTTAAGAGTCTGAGTTCCTGTTATTACAAAGAATATGAAGCAGTATGCAGCTAACCAGCCCCCAAACCATAGAGGTTACCATGGATACATGTAATTTCAAACAGGTAACGTGAGAAGCTCACCTCAGCACATGAGGATTTTGTAACTAACCATGTTTCTATTTGCCAAATACTATTTTGGTAACGAAGTGAATACTTACACGCAGAAAGAAATAAACTAAACAAATAAAAGAAAAAAGAATATTGTTGTCATGTGTTATGATTTTAATTATTTCATAAATATGCTAGTTCAAAATCAATGTTTTTGTATTTCTGTTCTGATTTGTATAAAGAGTAGGTACCACTAATTCAATGATTTAATTCAATGAACTTAGTTTACATGTACAAAACAACTGTACAATAAATCACCAAGCATGATCCAATCCCAAAGTTTTTCAATCATGAGAAAGCAGTGAAATAGACGTTGACCAAACAAATAACGAACATACTAGGAATATTCAGGAATCATCTCTAAACTACTTCATTCAAAATTTGCATGCAATCTACTTAATAGTTTGCCTAATAATACATGTAATCTGTTTTTGAGGAAAAAGTACTAATCATGTTTTTTGTCATTTCAGGGTGAGTACATGGAGTATGAAAGAATCATCTTTTCTTCTTTTTTTTTTACCAATAAATATTTTTACATACAATCTGACTTTGTTGTGAGGAGACAAGGGCTATTGTAAGCAGGCATCACAAATTGATGGTCGGTGACTGTCCAGAGTAGTTCCCGTGACTGACCATTTGGACACCTATGGGATCCAAAGGCACAATTGGTCTAAAAGGCAGATGGAGCAACTCCCTTTGATTCCATGTCTACCTGCTATCTTATCTCGACCACAACCAATGTTGAAGCTGAGTCACTGTCAGCGATTACGAACATTTGTTTAATACAAACAGTTGCGTTTTGCTACTGTTTTCAGTCAATGGACTTTAGTGTTAGCAGTACATCAGGTCACATCTATTATACATGTATATGAATTCACTCAAGTTCAGCTAGCATGTAAAGTTGCCTACCGATAAACGAAACTGACAAGGCTTTTGATACAATAACTGGTAGAGCCGCCATGTCAGGGTATGAAACTCCCCAACATTTCAGCTAGACCACAGGACTGGCTAGCTGAAATACTTGCCAGCCCTGACCAAAACCTGCCTGCCCACTATAATCATATGTTTCTCAGGATAAGCTAACGGGGTTTCTTTTTGGTTACATTTTATCATTCATCTTTACATGTGAATTAATGCTTATCATCGGGAAATATTTAGAATATTTTCACATATGAAATATAACCTGACCGTCGGGCAGGGGGATTTGAAAATCTGGCAGCCCGAGTTGAAATCAACCCGTCTCGGACGGTCGGGCAGGCAGGTATTTCGAACACTGATGATGTATACCTACCAGAGAAGATGGAAGATGATTGGATAAATATTTTGTAGCAATGTGGGTCCCTGGATACTGAAAGGGAGAAACTCGACAGTCTACCACTGGGTTTTGTGCATCGCCCATTAAACTGTTAGGAGTTCAAGAAACATTACCTATTTATTGGCCCTCGGACATGTGTACATATTTTTACTTCAGGGGCGTGAAACCCACCCACTCGCTGAATCTAATTTTGAATTGGTAAACGTTGCGCGAGTTCGCTGCTATGTTATTCATCGCCGTCTGTCCTCCCGACATCTCTGGTATCCGTATATTTAAGGATAACGACGGATATTTGTGAGTGGGTTAACACCGCATGTAAGATATTTCAGAAATACTCTTCAAATATACACACGTGACATTGCGATACATATTTGAATGACAACACAAACACGATATGTGAAGAATGAATATATATCATTTGCTTCCCAATTAATGTCAATGTTGTAATCATAAAAAGCAGCAATGACCAAATACCTAACGCTAACATTACAACATGGAACAGTAACACCATATGGCAGCTGCGGGAACGATGCACGTGACGCAGGAATAGGGCTATGAAAGTGGTGGATTCTCAGTTGTCTGTTAGCAACTGTTCAACTTAGACGTCATGCCACACGACCAACGCCATCGTCCTAAGGCGCCGTAACACGCTGTGCAGAGTTGCCTCCCTTGAGCGAGCCAGAAACCTATAATTGTGGGTACGAATCCTGTTTCGTCCCGATTATATTTCTAAGTTTTGTCAGCACCACACCCATTTTACCAAGGGGGTAAACGTCTGAGACCTGCATCACTTCGGGCTTACTTCCCACAGTAAGTTAACACGCCGTGATAAACTGGAATACTGTTCAAAGCGGCTTTAACTCACTCAGCTACTCAAACGGCTATATCTCTTTTGCGAAAGGTGTCGGCAACATCCTCTACAACACCAGTTTCAGGTTTGGGATATGTGGCGAAACTGGCGCCATGAGGCAGGTCTCGAACCAAAAAATCGGAAACTGCGAGGTCGGTGGTTTCGAGCACGCACGTATACAGCATAATGAACCATGCGTCGTTGGAGGACTGCATGTTCAGGTGAGGTGAAATGGGGTTTAACGTCGCGTTCAAGGTGATATTGCACTAAATTAGCGATGTGCATGCACGTGTGTGTTTGTGGATTAATGTCGATTTTATAGTGCTAAGCCCACTGAGATACCATGCCACTGTTTAACTTGGAATATCCCACTCAGGCACTGTATATGTACTGACTCCGAGCCGACCTTGTTTAGCACCTCAATGCAGAGCACTACGTAGCGTAACAACATCTTTTAACCTCCTTTGGTATGACGCGAGCGGAGATCGAACCCCGGACGTTCCGCTCTCCGGGCGGACGCTCTACCATTAGGCCACGGAGGCGGTCTGCATGTTCGGTTGAGCGGCGAGACAACATTAATGGTTCATCGAGCCGATGGGAGCGCCAGGATGTACGGACGTCGCCGTTGAACGTTTTGCAACCAACTGCATGCGATTAATAAACTGGCGTTGACAGCGTAATGATGCGTGGGTATTCCTCCAACACGGGTGGAAAAGTGCAACGCTGAGGTTAAAATTACCATCAACACGTTGAAGGTCGCACACAGCACGCGTTACCAGCTGTAAATGAACCACAATATATACTCAACAACAAAAGTTCCTGTGACACCAATATTTTAGTGTATTTTTCAAACAAGTGATGTTTGGTTTTCAATATTGTAGTACATGTATGGAATCAAGTCACAAAAACGCAACTGCTACAGAAAAGCATGCATTCCATGCAAAAGCTTTTTATGCAAGCCCCATTCATTTCACTACCCAAGAATGGGTATAAAAACGTGCGTTAACGGAATTCCATTAGGATTGTTTAGCATCGTACTGACAAAATTACGCAATTATTCAACATTACGAAATGCCACGCCTGTCCGAAAATGAGCTTCTGCGAGCCATTGGTATGCTTGAAGCAGGATCGAGTCAAAGTGATGTTGCAAGACAATTTAACGTCCACAGAAACACCATTTTGTGTTGATGGCAACGTTGCCAACAGTCGAATTCAGTCAGAGGCCACGCGTAACCAATAATCGACAAGACAACTGGATTCGAACAACACACCTACGAAATCGATTCCAGCCAGCAACAGTGACTGCAAGAAGCATCCCTGGCCTTAGACGAATATCGTCGTCGCCTCAGATGTGCAGGGATTGTCGCCAGAAGACCCCCCAGACGTCCCATTTTGACAGGAAACCACCGTCAAGCACGTCTACAGTGGTGCAGACAGCGTCTACGCTGGACGGCCATGCAGTGGGGACAAATTCTATTCACTGATGAGTCTCGTTTTCACCCCAGCCACAGCGATGGACGGATTCGAGTGTACCGACGTCGAGGTGAACGTTACGTCAATCATTGTGTCATGGAAGAAGATCGGTTCGGGGGCGGCAGCGTTATGGTATGGGGTGGGATTACAGCAAGACAGAGGACCCGTTTGATAGTGGTAGAGGGAAATCTCAATGGACAGCGCTAACCCGACGAGATCATCAGCCCTGTTGTTCTACCGTTTTTGCGTCGTCATGGCCTAGGCATTACATTTCAACGCCCGGCCTCATATTGCTCGATTTGTTCAGGATTCTCTTCAACAAAACAACGTGGATGTTATGCCCTGGCCGGTTCGCTCCCCTAACCTCTCACCAATCGTCAACCACGTGTTCCACAGACACTCCAGGAACTTCGAAACATGCTCCAGCAGATATGGACAGATATCCCACAGGACTTTGTGCAACGCCTGGTCCATTCCATCAGACGAAGATGTGTTGCTTGCATCGCAACCAGAGGATGACACACACGCTATTGATTTG